AAAAAATGTTTATTAATGGTATATAATTCCATCAATCTCGACGAGATTTGCTTTGTTAAACATGATGAGACTAAAATACTCAAGATGGCTCCTCTCTTCTCTTTCTCGTCTTGTTAGGAATATTCAATACTTCCATCATGTACATAGTAACCTTTATCAGTATTCGTGTTTTACAAGAATAAATTTTTACATTCACGAAGTCTGCAAAATCATTCTCTTTTACTTCACGCATTATTTTCCTTCTATTTCTTTTTGATGTACAGAGTGTGAAAAATATTTTTCCAGACGAGTAACGCTGTGATTTTAAATAAAGTCAATAACAAATTTTATACCAAATGAAAGCGCCTAAAAAATGGCATTTATCAGTATTAAATAATAAGGGTTCTGCCAATCTATTTATATCAAACACAACAAATTTCTAGAAATTTCCGCTATTTTAGTATGAAAATTTTTTTTTCATGAGGCAGTTCAAACTAAATCTGATTCAAAATGATGCTTTTATATGGAGTAATACTGCAGAAATTTCTAGAAATTTGTTATATTTGATATAAAAGTTTTGTAGAACCCTTACCATTTAATCTTGATAAATGCCATTTTTGACGCGCTTTCACATGGTATAAAATTTGTTATGCACTCTATTTAGAATCATAGCGTTATTCCCCTGGTAAAACATTTTTACACACCCTGCAGAATCAAAATTTTATCAGATGAAGTTTTTCAATCGAAACAACATTAATTTTAATATCGCTCTACAGTTTCTTAGTAAAATTTAATTTTCTTTCGAACGGAGAAAGATTTCTGCTTAATTTTTTTGGAATATGATTCCACTCTTTGAGCTGAAAAACGAGTCAAATTTTTGTAGCAAACGTTCATCTTTCATTGACTTATAGTAGTGACAAAATTTAATAAACCGCTCTAGATTTATTATGAACATCGTTTTTTCTATACTTGATTCAAATTTTTATATTAACCAAGTTTATGAAACAAACGTCTTTTACTTGTCAAATTATTTTCCCCTCCTTTCTCTTTCGTATTCGATCAGATTTGTTTCAATGAAATTTCTTAAAATGGAAAGTCAATGATTTGAATCTCGCTCTACACAAAAATGAAAGATGCGTTGATGCCTATTATTGATAGTTTACCATTCATAAAACTTTATCTAAAGTTAAAACTAATGACATATTGTACAAGCCCTCGACGAGCTTTACAAGTCTAGCTACAAAAACAATTTTAGAAAAATGCAATGTAATTTTAAAAAAATTCATTTCCTTCCGATAGGTAGCGTTGGAAAGCTAGGTATTTGATATTGTTGCTATGATTTCTCGAAAAGTAAAACAGCTAGAAACTTAATGTTTTCAGAAATGAACGACTATCTTTAGATGAGTAAAATAAAAAAAATTATGAAAATTATTTGACTAGAACTCGACTTATGAGCATTTTTCTTTTCGAGACCCCCGTGAGTACAATGGGTGCGCTCTTCACTCATGTAAAAGTCAGTGGATATATCGAAAGTATCTATTTTTCTCTGACGAATACAGCGAGCACTTGAATTATATATTGTGCAGTGAACATATACTAGTTCGCCGTGATAACAGAAATCAGCAATAAATTTATTTTTATCACTCAACAGAAATATAAAATATAATTTTTCTTTTTGTGAATTATTCGGTGCTTCCATATATAATCCCTGCGTTCAAAACTGAATTATTCATCTTGAGGCATTTTTCCTGTACTCAAAATATTCATTTTGTAAAATTACACTTTTATTAGGACTTATGCATATTTTAATTAAGTTACACAAGATAAATTTCTATAAGTCTCATGTCAATATACGATTACGAGAAGTATCGTTAAATAACTATTTTGTTCTATGATCTTCTTAACAATTGATATACCAAGTACAGCTTGATTTTTTTTCTTATAATTGCTTGAATATCGTATTTCCAAGAAAATAAAAATTCATCATCGAATTTCTATGTGTTCCTAGAATATCTTTTTCTGTTCTCTATAAATTATTTTCTATTTTACAGTTTTTCGAATTCTGAGATTGAATTCATCAATTTGAATTATTAAAATATTCAACTTGAAACATTCTAATCTCATTCTGATTTTATGCTTTAAAGTTATACAAAGAATACAGAGATTTCTTTCATAGAATTCTGGTCTTTTGTTTTCATTGGTCCTTGCTGAATACAACTGTGAACTGTTTTATTTTTTCGATTCGTTTTTTCGTCACAAGCGACTTGATTAGGGATGAGAAAAAACAATTCTTTTCTGTTTCTTAAGAAAATATGATATTAGAATTGATCTGTTATGATAAAATAAATATGTAAATTACAATATTCGTTCACGATTACTAGAAACTATTTTGAATAATATTTCTCTAATGTATCATAAGGATTTTGTTGCCGATAGTGATTACAAAAATTATGTTGGATTACTGAATAATATTAGTAAATTTTTCTATTCTGTGTAATCAGCGTGTTAATACATATGTATTCCTCCTTAATTATAAACATTTTTTAGGAATTGTGTCTGAATTACAGTATGAAACGAACAAAACAACAACGACAAAACAGTGATACTGATGATAAACAAAAGAAGCTAAAAACCGATCCGAATAGGTCAGTGAAAAGAAAGAATTCTTTATTTTCTCTTTTCTAAATCTAATTTTTATCTTTCAGATCATCACGAAAATCTTACACTCATTTTGAAGATATTTCAAATGAAATTATCTATGAAATATTCGTATTTCTTGATGTTTATCATATGTACACAGCTTTCTTTAATCTTAATATACGTTTTCAAAGTATCCTTACTGAATCAAATCTTCCCATCAAAATTAATCTTTCATTAATGTCCAGATCAACTTTTGAACATCAATACAAACATATTATTATGCTTAATATACATCGAATATGTTCACTTCGTCTATCAAATCTATTTACTATCGATATGATTTTTTCACCAATTCGAATTGTATCCAAAATGACACGTCTTCAGACTCTTCACATAAATAATATTCAATTCAAATATGTTGAAAAACTTCTAAAATATTTACCATCTTTACCATGTCTCTCTTCATTGATCATCATTGTTGTCGATTGCGTTGAAAATAAAAATAAACTTTATCGTCAAATATTCCGTCTACCCGTATTGAAATATTGCAAAGTAACAATGACCAAACTTGTTGAATCTGAACTTCTATCCATTGCAATTAATAAATATAGTTCTATTGAGCATCTTGTTATAAATAATGGTTGTCATTTGCATGAGCTTATTTCTCTTTTATCGTATGTTCCACAACTTCGCCGTCTTTCATTGCGTAATCTATACGGAACTTTCATTGAACAAACAGAATTAAATTCAATTGTGTTTAATTATTTGACACATATTTCTATAAATAAAACAAATATGATATTTGATGAACTTGAATTATTGATTAGAAATCATTTTCCACAAATTCAAAGCCTGTATTTTTCAAGAAATTTCGATGATGAATTTTTAAATGCAAATAGATGGGAACGATTAATTTCATCTTATATGTCACAATTACGTATTTTTGATTTTCATTGTACAATTTCTACATTTAACCAACAGAATTTCCAACATCTACTTAATCGTTTTAATTCATTATTTTGGATTGAGCGACAATGGTTCTTTGCTCATCATATTCATTCGACATCAAGTGATAACTGTAATTATGTGACTATCTTTTCTACCAATCCGTATAGGTTCAAATAACTTTATTTATCTATTATAATATATCTTTATTATTTCTATTTTTAAGGAAACAATATTACACAATATATGGAAAGAATGGCGACAAATATTGCTCAGAGAATCAAAAAATTAATTTGAATAAAGTCCATTTTGTTCGTATCGAAGATATAGAAGCGATAAATAATTGTAGTAATTATTTTCCAAATGCTACTGAACTTACTCTCATCTGTAAGTCTATTAATGAAAATCGAATTCGTCTCTCGTCTATGCTTAATTCTATTGTTCTTCTAAAACAACTTAATAAATTAGTTTTTAATATTTATCATTATCGCTTTGCAACGATCCTTGAACTATTATATTTCACATCTAATATTCATACATTAATACTTAATTGTACATCTCTTTGCGAATCAAGTTTTATATGTATTCAACAACATAAAAATTTTCAATTGATATCAAAGACAAATAAAATTACTAATCTAATGATTTTAACAGAATGTACATTCGAAGTGACAAAGTTACTTGTTAATCTTTGCCCTCATTTACAACATCTTACAATCAATATAAAAAACAATGATTTCATACCAACTTTACGATTTTTATTATCGAAAGATAATCACTGTATTCGCAATTTATTCTCATTGTGTCTCCAACATGTATCTGAAGATAAAATTCTAATATTGAACGAACTTATTAAACCAGACAAACTGTTTGGTCAATATTTCATGAATGTATCAGAAAGTTTCTCGGACAATGTTTATTTATGGTGGTAACCTTGATTATTACCAATAGTAGAATATTTAATTCCGGAATATTTGTTAATTTTCTTTTCTCGTCACCCTCTTGTTATTGTGTGTTTACTTGATTGTTTCATCAAAATAAGAAAAATATTCGCGCATTGAAAATGTTGGCCAATGGAATCATCTAAAAATAAAAATCATAAAAGCACTTGATTTTATGCTAATATTTTTATTCACACCGATATATTAATAGAGTATCGATCCACACTTCTTCTGAACCAAAGTTTCAAATGGGATAAAAAAAGGTGTGGGACGGATCAACAGAAGATCCGCACCTACACCCACACTCCAATCTATAAAAAACGATTAGTTTCTCATTTTTCATTGAAATCAAGAGATTGATGTTCGCCATCGTGAAGTCAATCTGATTTGAATTGATTTCAACATAATCTCGATTTGATAGTCAATAGTTCGGAAGATGATTGTATGCTTGCATGAAATTCTGGACATATTATTTAATTCCCAATCGATTAATTGTTTTTTTCTTTGATAATGAAAATTGTATTAAAATCATATTATCTCAACGAAGCTACAATTTTAAACTGTCTATGAGATATCTGAAAACTTCAACCGGCATATCTCAACACATAGGAGTTGCACCAAACAACGTGTCTTAGGGAATATTTAATTCATTATGACATCTGTGGTTTTCTTCACCTCCTGTTGAAATAAATCTTTGTTGACAAAAGAGCCGGACAGTCATATGGTTCAACTTCATTTTCGATTTTCATTCATCCGGTAAAAATTGTCACAATAGCCTACTATAATTCATTTCGAGTCGACAGAGAAACTGATTTTGGAATCCAGTTGGTTTCTCATCTGAACTAGTCAATCTTCTATGCATTTTTCAATATGGAATAATCACAGAAGAACAGATCTCATCCCAAACTTATCAAAGTAACTATCTCTTCTTAGGAAATAAACTCACATATAGAGCCCTGCAGGGTACGAGTATCGTAACCTGTCAACCTGTGATGATTTTTATGCGTTAGATATTGCCGACATCTTTTGTAAAGTTATACATTAAGAAAAAAAATAGAAGTGATAGTGAACTGAAAAATCAATTTACATTGATCGCAAAGATATTTAATAGAAGCAAATATGTCGATA